CATAGTATGATGTGATGCATGTGGTGTAGCGGGGTCGAACCTGGCCTGGCTGGGATGGTATGGGTTCGTATTCGGACTGAACGATGGAGAACAATCATTTGTAAACTTGCAAACTGCAATGCGCGACGCCAGCCGGACAATCCCGGGGATGGGGGGGATCCGAATTTGGGAGGTTGGAAAGGAGTGTGTCATAAAAGGGGTGTCGTGCCACTGATGGAGCAGGCGATGTTATCTTCGATAAGTGCAAGTGCTTTGCACCCCGGTTTCAAACAAAGCCAGGATTCCTGATTCCATTTTTCCCGACCAGCTGCAGTTTTATGTGAAAAGTGCAAACATTCATTCTAGGACGCCCGACTACCAAACACGCTACTTCGGAAATTCCGAATCGCGACAAGCGGCATTCCAGAAACTCCGCATCGCCAAACATGTAGTTCCGGGAGTCCCGGATTTAGAGATCGCGTTGTTCAAATGCAAACGATAGTTTTGGAAATGCCGAATTGACCGTCTGGAGATTCTGGAATCACAGAGGAATTCCGGATGTTCCGGCATCTCCGGAATCGCGCGTTTGGCGATCGGGCGTCGCGCAACGGGCATTTTTGTCGACGTTCACATTGGGTGGCGGTCGCGTGGGGAGTTGGAATCGTATGTTTTGTTTTTGTTTGAAGCGCTTGTTGGAATCGGGATGCAACGTGCTTTTGGCTATCGTCGATATCGTCGCCGTCTGCAGCAGTGGCGCCCCGCCCCACTATACCGCGCGCCTCGCCGACCTCCAAATTCATTCTTTTCAGACAGCGAACGTACGTGGTGCAACCCATTCTTCGGAACTTGGAGTTGTCAACTCCACTGCTCGCGCAACCGCCCCGCCCGCCCGCCCACCACTTTGTCTGCTGAGCCCACCGGCTGCGATTCCGATGGCTGCCCGGCGCCGGACGGCGCGTCGTCGCGCCCACGCTGGCGCGCGCTGGTTTTTATGGCGACGTCGACAACGGCAGACGCGATGATGATTGTAGCGATAATGGTGACGACGGTAGCGACGACGACGGCAGTGTCACTGACGGCCCCGATGCTGTTCACGCCGACGGCGATGATGGTTTCCACGTGTCGGCGATGAAGGTTTTGGGTGGATTTTGACATGCGCGGCCGACGCGCGCGCGTGGCCCGCGCGGGGTTATTCGACGGGGATCGCGCTTCCCCAGCAAAATCGCAAAGCGGCTTCGTGTGATTTCGCCGCTCGCGCGCGGGAGGTCCGCTCGGTAGCATGCCAGGAAATCTTGGAAGTTGAGCGGTTCCTCAAAACTTGGCGGAGGCGCGCGTTTTGTTCGGGCGCTTCGCGCGTTATAGGACATGTTCGCGCGCGTTGTTCTTCGCATCTGTGTTCGGAAATTGCGGCGTTGGACGTCCATGCGAGAATTCTCGTTTTTGAGCGGAACGTGGTGACGTGCGCTCAAGGCGCGCGCGTGGAATTTGCCCCGTTATGGAGCGCGCGTTTTCAAACAGAGCGCGCGCTCAGAGTCCCATGTGGCGAGGATGATGAGGGTTCGATGCCAGCCTGGGTGGGATTATTTGAAGTCGCGCGTTGAACGGGCGACGAGGCAAACACATCGGCGAACCGTCGCGCGCGAGGCCCGGCGCACAAAGGGGGGCTATCTTATCAGACGCAGAGAATGAGAGTCTACGTGGTGCAATGCATCTTGCCGAAGTTGCCCAGCCCATTGCGCGCGCAATCATCGCGCCCGCTCGCCCGCATTTTGGTTTGCCACATCCGCGCGGGGGCGATTGCGATGACTGCTCGGCGCCGGCTGGCACGTCGCCGCGATCGCGCTGGCGCGCGCATGTTCGCGCGCAGAGCGGCCTGCTAGTCTGCCGCTACCGACGAGGCCGCGGTGGCGCTTGCCGCCTTTTTTTCTCGCCGCGTCGCAGGCCGCGACGATGCGCGGGCGCTCCGGTGCGAGTCGGTCAGTCCGGCGGGCGCGGTGTCATGGCGACGTCGACATTGGCTGACACGATGATGATAGTAACGGTGACGGGGGCCGTGGTCGCGATGACGACGGCAGGGCCACTGGCGGCGCCGATGTCGTTCGCGCAGGTCGCGACGATGGCGCCCGCGCGTTTGCGACGGAGGTTTCGGGTGGATTTCGACCTGAACGCGCGGCTGACGCGCGCGAGTGGCTTGCCTGTCATTCTTTGACAGGGGTCGCGCGCCCCCCCCGCGCGCGCGCAGGGGCGCTCGAATGATTCCGACGCGCGCGCGAGAGGCCCGTTTGTTCAAATTTGGGGAACATGTTGGGAAGCATATTTATTGTCAGTAACGATAACGCGCGCATGTTCTTCAGAAGTCGCCCTGCGCAACAGTGCGTTTGCCATGTGTGTTCGGGGGGCGTGATTCTAAACCCCAAGTCGAGCCCTCCGTTTTGAAGGATTTCGGCACGCGCGCGCGCGCGCGCGACGGCGCGCGCGCACGTGCGTTTTGTCAGTTTTTCACGCGATGCATGGAAGCAGCCGGTTCGCAATAAACGGATGGGCGCGCGTTGTATTATTTGACCGGGCGGTGCGTGGGGGAAACCGGCTTGGCTGGGATGGTGCGAGTTCGCAATTGGACTGAACGGAGGTGCGAAATCGCTTGTGAATTGCGCGCCCCCATGCAGGGCGGATAGAATTGGAAAAGGGGGTGGATTGCATTTCCCAACGATCCTGTGGTGTTGGTTGGGTCCTCGTTTTGAAGGATCGGTCCCCGCGTTCCTGTCTCCTCCTCCTCTTCCTCCTCCCCCTCCCCCTCCTCTCTCCTCCCGTCGCACCCTTCACTTTGGCGCGCCTCTCGCGCGTTTCGTGGCCCCATAGGGAGCTCTGCCGAGAACCCCAGTGGGTGCCCGCGCGCGCCCCCCTCACCCAATAAAGCGTGTCGTGGCCTGATGGGGAGCTCCACCGAAGGCTCCAGTGGGGGTGCCAGCGCGCGCCCCCTCCCACCCAGTAGCCCCACAGGGAGCTCTACCGAAGGCCCCAGTTGCACCGCCCGCATGCGTCCCCCCACCCAGCACAGCGTTTCGTGGCCCCATAGGGAGCTCCACCGAGGGCGCCAGTGAGGGTGCCCGCATGCGCCCCCCACCCCCCGCCCACCCAGCACAGCGTTTCGTGGCCCCATAGGAAGCTCCACCGAAGGCCCCAGTACAGCGTTTCGTGGCCACGTGGGGAGCTCCGCCAAAGGTCCCAGCGCCTCCCCCGAAGGCCCTAGTCGTACCGCCCGCAGGCGTCCCGCCCACTCGGTACAGCGCTTCGTGGCCCCATACAGAGCCCCACCGACGGCCCCTTGTGCTGCCGCCCGCATGCGCCCCCCCCCGCCCAATACAGCGCTTCGCGGCCCCATGCGGAGCTCCACCGAAGAAGATACTCACAATTGCGGTATTCACAATTGCATATGGTTGGGTCTTTCGCCAGGAGAATTTCTCAGGAAAGCGCGCGCGGTGTTTTTTACGTAGTGCAATTTTGGCGGCGACGGGGCGGCGACTGCGACAACGTAGCCGCCAAACCGACTATACCGGGCCTAGACGACGGGCGTTGACGGGGCGGCGGCGGCGACAACATGGCCCAGACGACGGGCGGCGGTCACGCGGCGACGGTTCGGCAGCTGCGACAACATATCCGCCAGGCCGGGTCCATTTCCTTAGAAGAGAAGCGGGATCTTTCAAGTGCATGCATTGCCCCGGGAATACATGCACGCGTGTGTGTACATATTCACATTTACACATGCGTTGTTATGCACATTACTTGCTATGGTCGAACTGTTTTCCGAGTTTCTTGGTAGGCGTCGGGGGGGCGTCACCCCCGCCGACAGCCCTACATCGACCCCCGTCGCGGGCAGCCACCGCGCGCAAAAGGCGGTCCGACCCGCGTTGCGGCGCGACGACGAGGCAAGGTTGAACCCCGTCGGGGGGGTACTCCCTCACGCTTAAAAAGATTCCAAAACCCAGAGTGAGCTCTTGTGTTTCGTGCGGCCATGTCATGCTCTTCTTCGCTTCTGTTCGTTTCACTCCTATATCACTCGGCCCTGGCTTCTGTTGCTTGCGGCAATGCCTACCGACGCCAGTCGCGCTGATGTTTACATTCCGATGCCGCGTGTCCTACTTCGAACAGACAGATAATCATATGACCTTGCGCACAGACATTGAACAACGTCAACACAGCAAGCGAAATGCTATGCCGCCACGTGAAGGGATTCTTCCACCTTCGCCCACGTTCTAGTGGGCACAACATTGGCCAGGCGTCGTTCCGTATCCATTTTGGCTCAAGCTGTGTTGGCTCACGACAGTCCCACAGTTGTATCTTGACTTGCCTTCTTTGCATACCGAAGTCGTGCGTGTTCTCCTCTCACTTTCAGCTCGCCGGGATGGCGACTAACCAAAAGACAATGCGGACGCTACTGATTGTGTCGATGCTTTTACTTGCCCATGGCGAGCATATCCATTACAACGTGCGCGTCAACAAGGCCACTCCGACAGCGGCACCAACAGCAGCACCGACAGCGGCAGCCCATACTGAAACGGGACACCTTGCGATGTGTGGCGACCGTGCGTGTGTGGCTCGCAAGAACGACGGCACGGTTGTTGCATGGGGATGGAGCAGCAATGGCGGTGACGCTCCCAGTGGTCTCACCAATGTAGTGGATGCGATGTGTGGCGGGGGTGCGTGTGTGGCTCGCAAGAACGATGGCACGGTTGCTGTATGGGGATACGACACTTGGGGCGGTACAGATCCCGGTGGTCTCACCGATGTATCGGATGCGATGTGTGGCTTCTATGCGTGTGTGGTTCGCAAGAACGACGGCACGGCTGTAGCATGGGGATCTTTTTATTATGGCGGGCGTGCTCCCAGTGGTCTCACCAATGTAGCGGATGCGATGTGTGGCTACCATGCGTGTGTGGCTCGCAAGAACGACGGCACGGTTGTTGCATGGGGAGGTTTTCAATGGGGCGGTACCGCTCCCGGTGGTCTCACCAATGTAGCGGATGCGATGTGTGGCGGCCGTGCGTGTGTGGCTCGCAAGAACGACGGCACGGTTGTTGCATGGGGATGGAGCGATTATGGCGGTATCGCTCCCAGTGGTCTCACCAATGTAGCGGATGCGATGTGTGGCTTCTATGCGTGTGTGGCTCGCAAGAACGACGGCACGGTTGTTGCATGGGGATACAGAGAAGCTGGCGGTATCGCTCCCAGTGGTCTCACCGATGTAGCGGATGTGATGTGTGGCCACAATGCGTGTGTGGCTCGCCAGAACGACGGCACGGTTGTTGCATGGGGAGACTTCTGGAATGGCGGTCGCACTCCCGGTGGTCTCCCAGTCACCAATGTAGCGGATGCGATGTGTGGCGTCCATGCGTGTGTGGCTCGCAAGAACGACGGCACGGTTGTTGCATGGGGACATCCAGATTATGGCGGTACCGCTCCCGGTGGTCTCACCAATGTAGCGGATGTGATGTGTGGCGGGTTTGCGTGTGTGGCTCGCAAGAACGACGGCACGGCTGTAGCATGGGGGTCTCCTTATTATGGCGGGGACGCTAGCGGTGTCGATCTCACCAATGTGCAGGTGGCGACGCCAGCATCAACGACGGCCCAGCCGGCGCCAACACCAGCGGTATCGGCGACGGGCGACCCGCATCTCCAGAACATCCACGGCCAGCGGTTCGACCTGATGAGGCCTGGCAAGGCCGTGCTGATTCAGATTCCGCGCGGACAGCCGTTCGAGAAGTCATTGCTCACCGTGGTGGCAGACGCGCGTCGTGTGGGCTCGCATTGCGCGGACATGTACTTCCAATCTGTGAACATCACAGGGGCTTGGGCGGACAAGGTGCGACCCGGCGGCCTCACCTTCACTGCCGGGGGGTCGCGCGACGAGACGGTCCAGGCCGCCCAGGGCTGGACGAGGTTCGGCCCGCTGAAGCTGAAGGTCGTGCACGGCAGCACGAGCCAGGGCATCAAGTACTTCAACTTCTACGTCAAGCACTTGATGGAGGTGGATGCTGCTATCGGAGGTCTGCTCGGTGAAGATGACTACACGGAGGCGGCGACGCCCGAAAAGGGGTGCCGGACGTCGGTATCACTTCATAAGAATGCGATTTCGAATAGTGACGTCGGGCGCGCCGAGGCGATTGCTAGCCTAGCGTAGGATCAGCTCGCGCTTCTCTTCTGGGGACATCGTCGGTATCGGATGCTACGCTTCACTTTCCACACTCTTCCTCCTCCCGTCCTCCTTCTTGGGGCCGCGCAATCCGGCAGCATGAGCTGCCCACGTCATGCGCGACGCTCGTTCTGTGTTTGCGACATTAGAAAAAAAACATGGGACATCAACGATTTTACGACTCGCAGCTCTCTTGGGCTGATCTTGGAGCCTCGTCGGGGTCTTTCTGGGGCCTCTCAGGGATCGAGAGTGTGTTGGGGGCCTCTGCGGAGGTCTCTGGAAGCCTCCTGCTCCCGCTCCTGGCCCCATCTTGGGCCTGTTCTGGGGTGGTCTGGGGCTGTCCTGGACACCTGGTGGCATTCTCGGAGCCTTCTTGGCCCGTCTTGGGGCCGTCCTGAGGGTCTCTTGGGTGGTCTTGGGGCGGTCTTGGGAGCCTCGTCGGCGCTCTTAGACCGTTGGAAGCTCGGAAACGCGAGAAGTCAAGAACATTGAACAAAAACAAATGAAGATCTACGATTTTGGCCTCCTCGGGCCGTCCCGGGACGCCTCTCGGACCTCTCTTGGGGTCTCTTGGAGATCACATGGAAGCCTCCAGAGCCTTCGGAAGGCTGACTTGGGCTGCTTGGGAGCGGTTTGGACCATCCTTTCGCATCCTGGGGGCTCCTGCGGGCCCTTCTGGAGCGCCGGAGGCCCCCTGGAACGCCCGGGGGAGCGCTTCGGGGCATCTTTTGGTGATTTTTCGGGTCTCATGGGGGCCTCTTGGGCAGTGGGCGCTTCTTGGAGCCTCTTTGGGGGTCTCTTGGGCCAAAAGGCGTGAATTTTGGGTTCGTCGTCCCCGTCTTGGGCGCCGCTTTGGGGCGTTCTTGGGCGGTTTGGGGGCCTCGTGGGCCGTCTTGACCCCATCGTGGGCCGTCTTTGGGCCCTCTTAGGGGCATCCTCGACCGGCTTGGGTGCCTCTTGGGCCGTCCTGGACGCAGTGGAAGCCCCAAAGGCGAACACGCCAAAAACATAAGTTTCCCCATAGAAAATCGACGATTTTTGGTTATTGGGGCTCTATTGGAGTGCCCCTTGGGGCGTGTTCGGGGACTCTTTTTGTGTTTTTGCGGGTCTCTTGGGGACCTGTTGGGGCTTCTTGGGCGCTTCTTGGAGCCTCTTGGGGTCTCCTGGGGGCTTCTTGGGCCAAACGGCTTGCATTTTCGGTTCCTCGTCCCCGTCTTGGGCGTCGACTTGGGGCGTTGTTGAGCGGTTTAGGCGTCTCGTGGGCCGTCTTGGCCCCCTCGTGGGCCGTCTTGGAGCCCTCTTGGAGGCATCCTCGACCGTCTTGGGTGCCTCTTGGGCCGTCTTGGACGCAGTGGAAGCCCAAAAGGCGAACACGCCAAAAACATAAGTTTCCCCATGGGAAATCGACGATTTTTGCTCATAGGGGCTCTATTGGCGTGCCCCTGGGGAGCCCCCTGGGGGTCTCTTGAGGGCCTCTTGGGGCCTCTGGGGGCCTCTTGGGGCCTTCTGGGGACCTCTTGGGGCCTCCTGGGAGCCTCTGGGGTCGAAAGCTCGGAATTTTAGTATGGTTCTGCACCTCTGGGACCCCTCTGGGGCTCGTCCTGGGGCTCTCTTGGACTGTCTTGGGGGCCTCTCGGGCCGTCTTGGGGCCCTCTTGGGGTCGTCTTGGAGCTCTCTTGGGAGCCTGTGGGGCAGTCTTGGGGGCCTCTTGGGCCGTCTTGGACGCAGTGGAAGCCCATATCAGTTTCCCCATCGGGAATCGACGATTTGTGTTTATTGGGCCTCTCTCGGGGTGCCTCTTGGGGCGTCTTCGGGGCCTTCGGGGGCCTTGGCGTCATGGGAGTCGTCTTGAAAGGCGTCTGGAGCCATCGCTTCGGCCTCCCGGGGCCTCCATGCAGCCTCTGAGGGCCCTGTTGGGCCCGGGTCGCCGAAGCCTTGTAAAAAAAAACGGGAATTGACGCCTGGGCCCCGCATTTGTGGTCGAGGCGCCGGCCTCCGGCCCCGGTCCCCCGTTGTATATATGCATATGCATATGCATATGTATGTATGTATGTATGTATGCATGTATGTATGTATGTATGTGTATATATTTATATGCACATACACACATTTAGACATATATATACTCACACATCTGTTTACGGGCGTTAGACAGCATGGACCCCGAACAGTGTGTTCCTAGCCATGGATGGTGTGTTCGCTCTGTGTAGCAACCCATGTTGTGCAATATAGATGTATACATACATATTGGTGGTGCAGTTTACATTGCGCTATCTATGTTGTGCAGGATGTGTGGTGCAGCATCTGTTGTGTAACCTACGTGTTGCAAAGTATGTGGTGCAATGTGTTGGTTCGCAATGTCTGCGGTGCAATCGACGTGCCTCCACCTAAGTGGTGCAACCAATATTGTCCACCTTTCTGATGCAATATGTGTGGTGCAACCAATGCGGTGCAATCGTGTGGTGCAACCCAGGTTGTGCAATATATGTGATGCAATCTATGTTGGGCAGTCCATGTTGTGCAACTGTTTTTGTTCGCAGTGAGTTGTCAACCCCACTGCTCGCGCAAACATCCCGTCGACCCACCCGTAACTCGGCTTGCAAAACCAAGCGGCGGCGAAGGCGATGGCTGTTCGGCGTTTGCTGGCGCATCGTTGCGGCCGCGTTAGCGCGCACAGGCTCGCGCGCAGAGTGGCCAACTAGTTTGGCTCGACCGACGCGGCCGCGGTGGCTCTCACCGCCGGGGGCTTTCCAACGCGTGTCGCAGGCCGCGCTGGCGCGTGGGCACAAAAGTGCGAGTCGTTGACTCGGGCGGGCGCGGAATCATGGCGATGTCGACAACGGCATCTTTGTGGATATAGTAACGGTATTCGTGACGACGATGACGATGACGACGGCAAGGCTGCCGCTGACGACGCTGATGCTGATCACGCCGATGGCGATGATGATGTCCTTATGTTGGCGATGACGGTTGTGGACGGATTCCGACATGCGCGCCCCGCATGGTGTTATTTGACAGGGGTCGTGCCACTCCCCACCGCGCGCGGGAGGGCGTTCGGATGTACGCGCGCGCGCGACAGGGCCGTTTGGTCGCATTTTATGTAGCTGTTGCAAACCAGCGGTTTTCTTAAGAATCCGCAAGAGGTCGCGCAGGTTTCTTCATTGTAACAAATGTTGCACCACCTTTCGTCTTTAACACGCTTTCGGGGCTTTCGATTTGACCATCTTGACGACGTACGACGCCTGCGGTTTTGAATGGTTTGCAAGAGTCTTGTTGCACGGGATTCTTGCACACCGATGGCTTCTGATGCGCGGGTACGCGCGCATAGTATGATGTGATGCATGTGGTGTAGCGGGGTCGAACCTGGCCTGGCTGGGATGGTATGGGTTCGTATTCGGACTGAACGATGGAGAACAATCATTTGTAAACTTGCAAACTGCAATGCGCGACGCCAGCCGGACAATCCCGGGGATGGGGGGGATCCGAATTTGGGAGGTTGGAAAGGAGTGTGTCATAAAAGGGGTGTCGTGCCACTGATGGAGCAGGCGATGTTATCTTCGATAAGTGCAAGTGCTTTGCACCCCGGTTTCAAACAAAGCCAGGATTCCTGATTCCATTTTTCCCGACCAGCTGCAGTTTTATGTGAAAAGTGCAAACATTCATTCTAGGACGCCCGACTACCAAACACGCTACTTCGGAAATTCCGAATCGCGACAAGCGGCATTCCAGAAACTCCGCATCGCCAAACATGTAGTTCCGGGAAGTCCCGGATTTAGAGATCGCGTTGTTCAAATGCAAACGATAGTTTTGGAAATGCCGAATTGACCGTCTGGAGATTCTGGAATCACAGAGGAATTCCGAATGTTCCGGCATCTCCGGAATCGCGCGTTTGGCGATCGGGCGTCGCGCAACGGGCATTTTTGTCGACGTTCACACTGGGTGGCGGTCGCGTGGGGAGTTGGAATCGTATGTTTTGCTTTTGTTTGAAGCGCTTGTTGGAATCGGGATGCAACGTGCTTTTGGCTATCGTCGATATCGTCGCCGTCTGCAGCAGTGGCGCCCCGCCCCACTATACCGCGCGCCTCGCCGACCTCCAAATTCATTCTTTTCAGACAGCGAACGTACGTGGTGCAACCCATTCTTCGGAACTTGGAGTTGTCAACTCCACTGCTCGCGCAACCGCCCCGCCCGCCCGCCCACCACTTTGTCTGCTGAGCCCACCGGCTGCGATTCCGATGGCTGCCCGGCGCCGGACGGCGCGTCGTCGCGCCCACGCTGGCGCGCGCTGGTTTTTATGGCGACGTCGACAACGGCAGACGCGATGATGATTGTAGCGATAATGGTGACGACGGTAGCGACGACGACGGCAGTGTCACTGACGGCCCCGATGTTGTTCACGCCGACGGCGATGATGGTTTCCACGTGTCGGCGATGAAGGTTTTGGGCGGATTTTGACATGCGCGGCCGACGCGCGCGCGTGGCCCGCGCGGGGTTATTCGACGGGGATCGCGCTTCCCCAGCAAAATCGCAAAGCGGCTTCGTGTGATTTCGCCGCTCGCGCGCGGGAGGTCCGCTCGGTAGCATGGCATGGAAATCTTGGAAGTTGAGCGGTTCCTCGAAGACTTGGTCGGAGGTCGCGCGTTTTGTTCACGCGCTCGCGCGTTATAGACATGTTTCGCGCGCGTTGTTCTCGCATCTGTGTTCGGAAATTGCGGCGTTGACGTCCATGCGAGAATTCTCGTTTTTGAGCGGAACGTGGTATGTGCGCTCGAAGGCGCGCGCGTGGACTTTGCCCAGTTCTGGGCGCGCGGTTTTTTAAACGAGCGCGCGCTCAGAGTCCCATGTGGCGAGGATGATGAGGGTTCGATGCCAGCCTGGGTGGGATTATATGAAGTCGCGCGTTGAACGGGCGACGAGGCAAACACATCGGCGAACCGTCGCGCGCGAGGCCTGGCGCACAAAGGGGGGCTATCTTATCAGACGCAGAG